CATCTCCACATACCCAGCTGCTGTTCGATGCCTCTGCACGACCTGAAGCTGCGTTTAAGGAAACGGCTCAACAATGCGACCGCATTCAAAGAGAGAAAGCTTCATTTTTTTTTATCTTTGCCCTCAGGAGGTCAGGCCACTGTGGATACCTGACAGAAAATGACACTGAATCCACATTTTTTGCAATGATTTGGGCTTTTAAATGCTGTGATCTTAAACTTTTGCTCAGCTGATGAACTGCCTATTTCAGTTTAAAACGTGTTTGTTATAAAATGCTGACTCTGATGCTTTTTTGGTCTCACTCCCATTTCATCTTTCAGTGATTCGAAGCTCTACGTAGAACCTTCTTACGATCCAACAGTACAAAATGTAAATTCTTTCAACTGAAAAACAAAAACAAAAAATGAAATGTTTCATTAGAGAAGAACCCGTCCAGAAGACCTAAACAATTTTTTTCTTTTTGATTTTTTACCTGGATTACTGAGATGCATCAGGACACTCTTTCACCTGATCTCAAAATTATGATCAGGAGTAATAACCTTTAGATAATAATTCACTGCAGATACTTGTTAGACTTTTCGTACTTCAATGATCCTGTTTCCTACAAGGTTTGGACTAATGTCTCTGGCTCAAGATTTTTGCACAGCTTGACTTGTAAAGACTTAAATGATAGCAGGGGGGGAAAACAATTATCACCAAATATTTGCATCATTAAAGTGTTAATTCCTTTTTATGTAAATTGATTCAAATTGTTCCTCTTGAACGAAGTTGAAATTGTTGCTTTTAAGTTTCACTGCTGAGTGACAAAAAAAGAAGGAAATCGCAGCTAAAGTGCCATAAAACACAAAGATGCAGCAGATTGATGAAAACAATCTGTTTTTTTCCTCTTTGTGGGATAATGTGGGATCTATTTGTTTAAAGTTTGTGGTTTTCTCTCTAAACAGAATGTTCCTACAGGACCTAATAACAAACCAAAACTCCCCATCCTCATCGCTCAGTGTGGAGAGATGTGATCCAGCTCCCTCTGCTCCATGTCAGTAATTTAGAAACTTCTTTCTACGTCAAATCGTATTTTACTTGTTACTCATATCCATCAGCAGTTTTTATTATTCCCTGCTTATACAGCAGGTTAACAGATAAATTTTTATAGTTATGCTGCGTTCGATTTTTTTTAAATTTACAAACTCTGAAACTCGTAACTTTTGTTGACAACAGACTATAAGTAGTTGTTTTTGAATAAATTTAGCAAAGTTAATGTTTAATACTTCTGTTTGGTGTTTATGTGTATTCAGACTGATGGTTGTTGTTTTTTTCTCCATAGGCTGAAGGGAAATGTTCACACTGTAAATCAAAATATCAATAAATTGTTCATTTTTTAAGTTTTCAATTGCTGTTTTTAATCGGTAAAGGCTGTCTCTGTTTTAGGATACATCACATTTTTGGTGTAAATCTTTAGAACGGCTTCATTATAGCGCATGTGTACGTAATCAATCAAATAATTATTAATTTTAGACCTGTTATGCAAAGCCCTTTATGGTTTTGAATTTAAGTAGTATTTTTTGACCATTTTTTGTATGTAATGTAATATATCAAGAGAAAAACATGCAGTTCTGTCAAGTTGCACTCTAACATGGTGGTGGGATAAATTGTCCACCTTAGGCGTCCAGCAAATTAGTCCACACACTCCAGTGCCAAGCAATCCTCTGCTGAACTTATGGCAACCCCTTCTCTCCCAGTCATTTCTACAAATCCAGGCCCCCCTTGCCCTATCTCCTCGAACATCATTCTTTTGACATAAAGGGATCTTTTCAGATGGTAACTCTCTTCTTGTGGAAGCAGGAAGAAAGTTGTTCTTTTCTTTAGGAGCTCTTTCTTTTGGGAGCCTCTCTGGGGCATTATCCTTGTGTGTGGGAGACCGGAGCTTGGCCATTAACAGCATGCACTTCACATGTCCGCCTGTGCTTGCGAACGGTGCCAGTGGAGCATTAACATGACAATGTTTAGGGGTTGGATTCTGCTGCCGTTTTTTTAGTGTAGCTGCCAGAATGGATGCGGTGCTTTTAAGCTACGAATACCTATTTTTTTCCTTCTTATAGTCACCTTTTTAAAATAATCATAAAAATTTCCACAGCCAAACTTGAATGTACACTGGTAGTGATGTGTATGCAATATCTATTTGTAGTTAAGGATTTTTATTTAAGCAAAAGATAATATTTTAAGGCTTGGGAGACAGTAATTAGGATTTCAATTTTTGCTTCATATTGGTGAATCAATGTTGTCATTTCAATAAAAATAAAAATATATTTTTCAGTCAAATGTAAAAATCACATGACAGTAATTATGTTTTAAAATTCATCCACTCATGTTCTGACAAACCCTTTCAAGGAGCAGAACTCTGTCAGAATCCTCCAGCTTTCACGTCACTAGTAGTGAGCAGTAAGAACACAACAGGTTCAAAGGCTTTGCTTCGATATTACTGACAGCTGCGTCAGCCAATCGAAAAGCGCGTTGTTGGAACGTACACGTTCTAGCCAATGAGAAGACGAGCTGGGCGGACCCTCGACTTGGAACATTCCCCAGCTCAGCCACTCGCTCTGCCCAGTTCGATCGGCAACGGGAGCGGAAAGAGGAAAGCTGAGAGCCCGAAGGCAGTAGCCCCCACCACCGCCGGCCCAGGTTACCATCTAGCACCGGGAAAAATATCAAGAGAGCCGCCGCCGGCTGAAGCCATTACCAACGAGGAGGAACCATGAGCAGCGAGGCCGAGACGCAACAGCCTCCACAGCCTGCTGCGGATGCGGAGAGCCCATCCAGCCCGGCAGCCGCAGCTTCCGCGGGGGATAAGAAGGTCATCGGTAAGACTGCTGAAGCCTGTTAAGATAACTAAATGATAATGTAGCCTAGTTACTGGAGGCGGTTTGCCGTGGAATGAGACGTTATGACATGGTGATTCGTTAAGCAGAAAACGGAAAAAATTTTATCTAAACACAATACTTCATTTGGTCTAGCATTTTTATTGTATTATTGTGATATTTGGACAAAATGTACTGTATTTGACTATTTAAAAAAATGTCAAGTTAATATGCTTGTCAATTTAACGTTGGTGGTATTCCTGAATCCAGTCATGTTGTGTTAGTTTATTTTATTTTATTTTTATTGTAGAGCGTAATAACTTGTGAATAGTACTTTGGGGACATCCTCGGCCTCTTCGTTCACGTCAAATACTCGCTTGACTTGAGACACTCGTGTAAAGCAGGTCGTTACACTGGTGATCGGTTGGAAGTCGTTTTTCAGCCGTTACCAGTGCCGATATGTTCGCGTTCACACGTTACTGGTTAACGTCAAGGTTCGCAAGTTTACTGGTTGCAGATAATCGTCAGTACACAACACGATGCTGTTTCACGGGACCAGTGAGGCTAGGTTGTTAGCTGCTTTAACCATCCCTTTGTTCACACGAAAAAGAGTCTGATCCCACGTTAGACCATTTGGACGAAATACAGTCAAAACGCGAAATTATTCCGGATGCAGTTGGACAAAACTACCCCAGTGAATAACAATCGTTAAGGCCTCCGACTGTATCCGTTAATTTTGGTCGAATTTCGGAGCTACCAGCGTGGCCTATTTATAGTTGACGTTGCGTCGTCTATAGCTAACGAAGCTACATTAGCCTAGCTACCTAAATGTGGCTATTTACATGGAGAGGCCGTCCAAAATGTCCGCCGTGTGATTCCAACCGACTTATCTCGCTCTTGGGGTGTCTGCTCGTCAGAAAACAGCGCTACGGCGACTTATATTTGTTACACTGTTTAACCCGTTTAGGCCTCAATAATAGTGTTTACTGTTTTACGTAGGATTCAGTTAGCTGGCTCTACTCCAACCACATGGTTCAAACTGTCTTAGCTCACACTGCCGTGCTAACGAAGCTAGCTGAGCTCCCTGTGTGCTAACGTATCCGGATGCGACTCCACCACGTGTGAACGCTCTGCTCCAAGCCGTATACGTCCTAAAATGGAGCAGAAGACCGTGTAAACAGTCGGCGAACGCGGCATATGCCTTTTTTTTTAAAATAAATTTTTGATTGGCCTCATGAGACTGTTTGGGTTTAGCACCCCAATCTTCGTATCAAATCTCAGTGCGTTCTGTTCTGGCTCCAAGGAGCAGCTGACGCTCGGTTTGCCTCAGGATCTATAAAAAGAACGACAGTTGGGAGTTAAATATAATTTCAGAACGATGTAGGGCTTTTGTTACTTTGTAGACATCTGTTTTCTTTCATCTTTTTATTGACTGTCATCAAGAAACGTAGTTCAAGCCTTTTTAGTTAATGTTGAAGCTGTTTAATGATTCTGAAGCTGTTTAATGATTGACTTTTTCTCATTGCAGCAACAAAAGTTCTGGGTACAGTCAAATGGTTCAACGTCAGGAACGGATATGGTTTTATCAACAGGTGAGTGTCGCTCCATCCCTTCATCAGGAGGACTCCTGATACGATGTATGTGGGTGACAGAACGTTCTCAATCCTATTACTGTTACGCTTTGCTCACAGTGCTGACCAGATTAATATTTCTGCTCGTCCCTATACTGTTGCAACCTGCAGTACTTAATTAATCCTTGCTGGCTTAGTTTAAGTCTGTTTGCAAAGACATTGCTGCATTGTGTGGCTCATCAGAATACCCCTGATAGAATCTGTTCTTCTATTTAGGAACGATACCAAGGAGGACGTTTTTGTACACCAGGTAAGTTGCTTTTTTTAAAATTCTTGTTATTTATAATTGAAAAAAATCTCATCCAAACGGTTTCTAATTTTAGACGGCCATCAAAAAGAACAACCCGAGGAAATATCTTCGCAGTGTTGGAGACGGAGAAACTGTGGAGTTTGATGTAGTTGAAGGAGAGAAGGTATGCATTTCACCGATTTGTTTGATTATTTACTTCACGGCTTCTAAAAGAAGAAACGCAGTGTGTTATCCTCCTTCAGGAGTAGCTGAAGCCAACGCGTTTCTTGTGTGCAGGGAGCAGAGGCAGCAAATGTCACTGGCCCGGGAGGCGTTGCGGTCCAGGGAAGTAAGTACGCTGCAGACAGGAACCGTTACCGGCGCTACCCACGAAGGAGGGGCCCTCCCCGCGGGGGAGACTACCAAGAGAACTACCAGAGTGACGAGGGCGAGCCTGGCAGCGGAGGACGCGACAAAAGCAGCAGAGAGGGGGGAGAGAACGCCCCAGAAGGAGACTCGCAGCCACAGCAGCGCAGACCCGCTTACCCTGGCAGACGGCGCTACCCGCCATACTTTGTACGTAGACGCTACGGCCGCCGGCCCCCGTACACCAACTCACCACGCGGAGAGATGACTGAGGTACGCCGTCACAGGGCTACTATCCTGAAACAGGCACCCAGTTGTTCCTTATTAAAGTTGGAACGATCCGTTCTGTTATTTTCAACTCTTAATCCTCTCCTCTCTTAACATTCACGTGGTTGTGATCAACTAATCTTGGTGTATCGGGGGTCTTACAAATATCCTCATATAGGCCCCTCTTCTCTGAAATTCTCAAAAAATAAATACCAGGCTGAAAATTTTTTTTTAGTTATTTTGTAGGGGCTTAGGTTTGATCACATGCTCAGGCATGTTTCCGATTGATCATTTTCAAGTTGGTTGGCCTCTGGAACATCTGTCAGTTCTTGTTTAAACCGTCTGTTTTCAGGGAGGTGAAGGTGAAGAGAACCAAGGTGGTCCAGACCAGGGTAACAAACCAGTGAGGCAGAACTACTACAGAGGCTTCCGACCAAGGTTCAGACCAAGGTTTGCATGTTGGCTTCATTGATCACGTGCAGCAGTAATGATTAAAAGTAAAACTTGGACCTATTTGAATTCTAAGGAGTACGGTGCCTGGAAATGGCCTTTAACCAATTAATGACAAAAACCACCATTAATTTCACCAGAAACATTGAATTAATTTGACCAGAAACATTGAATTTCTGACCTCACGTTGCTGCTGCACAGCAAGGTTTTGCTAACATCATCCCGTTCTTTTTGTTTTTCCTTCTTAAGCGCATGGCTTTAAAGTTGCAACTAGCTTTTGTAATTTATATTTCTGAGCTTTAATTGTCTACTCATAGAATTTTTTTTTTTTTGTTTTGGTTTGTTCCTTCCAGGGGTCCACCCCGTCCCAGACCGGTGCGAGACGGCGAGGAGGACAAAGAGAATCAGAGCGCCGACGGCGGTCAAAACCAACAGCCCCGCCAGCGACGCTACCGTCGCAATTACAACTACCGCCGCAGACGCACACAGTCTGGTGGCAAACCAGGCCCGGAGAACAAAGAGGCCAAGACAGGAGGTGACCCATCTGCAGAGAAAACGTCCGCTCCCGAGGCCCAGCAGGGTGGGGCTGAGTAGGAAACAACCTGCCCACCGGCACCTACCATCTTTTACCATCGTCCGGGTGAGTCTGCGTTCCCACTGTGGTTTTAATGTCTGGTTTCTCCTGATTCACTCTTGTTGCTGGTGATGCTTACACCCTTAAAGGCATAAAACTCATTATGTTTGAGCAGCAGATTAGTTTAATCTTTCTGCTGTGGTTCTTTGTGAGGTGCTAAATGACAATGTGTTAAATGTGCAGCTTTCAGGAGACTTATGTCTTTTTATTTTTCTTTTGCAGTTTTTGTTTTGTCAACAAGAAGAAACATCAAACAAGATCTGAGCAATAAAGGTTTGACTTTAAGATCGTCACAAGCTTGCACCACGCATTCGACCAGATTACCACTGATTGCCTGCAGAATCTATGCAGACTTGTGTTTTTGTTCCCATTATTTTTGTGTGACAGCTACAAAACATTTTGGGGAAACAACAAATGTTTTTCTAAATCTGTCCTAAGTTTTTACACCAAATGGTTTTTAAAGATAAAAAAAATTGAATTTGATATCTGGTCAGTTTGACATTTTTAAATAACTTTTTATGTATTCAGACATTTTAACAAAATGCAAGCTCAAATAAAACTCCAGAAACCAGGAGAGATGTGTCTGTAGTGTTTATTTTCCACAAATATACAAGCTGTCAACAATAAAAGAATTAGATTTTATATTATGAACAGTTATTTAATTTGTTTTATAAACTACATTTAAAATTATTTTTTCTGTATTTTGCTGAAAAAAAATACACCATCCTACTCTGACGACATGCACTTTAAAGAAATGTAACTAATATTAAGAATTAAACCATCAGTTCCATAGAAGCTTCTCTGGTTCATCTTTCAGTCTGTGGTGATGGACGTGTAGGCTCAGTATAACTCATCAGCAGTGCATTCTGAAGAACATCCCAACAATTGAGGAAATGTCTTTTTCCATTTTGAGAAATCCTGATAGCTTTATATTCATTCAGACATTTGTCTCTTTGCGCAAACGCTTCATTCTTTGTACATTATTTTCCATGGCGGTGGGATCGGTGATCTCTGTGGCACAGTTAGCAGGAAACCAGCCCCTCTCTCCATCACGCATTCTCTCCCCGTAGCACCAGTCTACCCAGAGCAACAAAAGTTCAAACTGGTTCATATAAAGCAAAACCCAGAGGGTGGTAGAGATGAATATGAAAATCTGTGCCTCACCTTCCTCTTTCTGCAGGACGATGACCAGCTCAGCCTGTCGCAGACCGAGCTCATCAGGCTCTTTTGGCATGTAGGCTTTAGTGGCCTCATACTGTGGCAGGCCTGAAACACATTTAAACATTTTTCTGAGCCTGTATGAATGTCAAACAATAGCTCAGCAAAATTCAACCCTGTGGCTCATAAATCAGGCATGTCAGACACAAACTCCACAGGTTCCCAGTTAAACTTGGACAATGTTTGAGCAACATTTATAAGTCTTACCATCTTTGCAAATCAAGCCGCCTTTAAGCTGCTTGAGTGCAATTATCCAACGTGCCCGGTCCACTCTAGAAAAAGAGAGAGTGCAGACTTTATTTTTGACAGGGCTGATAATGTTGTGAAATTGCAGCTATGGTTTCGACACCAGAGGGAGCCAAAGACTAAATATTGATGCAGGCTCCTGGATGTGACTTCTAAATCATCAGTACCTGGAGTCGGCCACCAGGGAGATTTGCTCCTGTCTCCCCTCACTGTTCTTGCTCATCCGCAGTTTAAAGGAAAGGTAGCTGGAGTTTTTTGTAGGTGAAGATATCCGTCCTTCTGATTCCTCCATTAACTCCACCTCGACGTTTTCTACAGTGGCATAGTCCAACACCACAAAGCTCTCCTCACTGAACAAACAAAACAGTTTATGATTCTCTTCAGGAGCAGAACGCAGGGACAAATAATGTACCTTTAAAAGCAACATTTTCTGTCAGCTCACAATGTTAATCTTTCAATCATAAAAAAGACTGCAGTGTTGTGGGCAATTCCTTCCTCTGAGCTGACATTGTTTGGTTTCTCCTTAATTCAAAACAGACAGCTATAGTGAGTCGAGCTGAACGCAAGCTTGAAGAATCCCAAGTATGCACGCAGCACAGTCATTCTTTCTCCTTTCTCTGTCCCTATCCCTGCTCATATTCCCTGGGAGCAGCTGGGTCTATTTAGTGTCCACAGGTCACGCGAAATAACCACAACATTAATGAAGACGTCAACAATTCCCTGCAGTTTGTAGCCTTGAACAGGCCTCACTGCAGCAGATGTTTAAAACTGAATTGTGCACATTTTAAATCCACAAAGTTCTGAATCATAAGACTAATTTAATATTTTGTGGGTAATCTTCATTCAATATATTTGCAATTGCAATACTTTACCAATTTAACCATATCAAAAATGTTGGACTTGAGTGAGACTAGTGTGATACAACTTAGTAATACTTTTAGTTTTTTTTTTTTAATTATGTAAAGTTATTTAAAGTAAAATACACACAAATACTTATTCTTTTCAACTGAAATCTACTTTGTGTATTTCCATTCTCCTTTCAGGTTTAAGCTATGTTCTTGCTTCTTTCAACCTTTAGCTACTGTTTTGCTAATTATAGTTTTTAGTTTTGCTACATTAAGCTTACAGCAACTGTATTGCTACATTTAGCCAACGTTATTTTAGCTTTTGGTTTGTATTTTATATATTTAGTTTTTAACTACAGTTTTGCTAATTGTAGCTTATACCTACAATTCTGCTTTTTTACATTTTACAGTTTATTCTTTAACAAATTTCAGCTGTTATTCAGCTCTTAGCACAAACACGGCATCTCCACAGGAAATACAATTTCTCCAGTTTTACATGACATTTTGTTAAAGACTAATAGGGACTATATAGGCTGGAGGTGAGTAACCAGAGAAAACATTTATATTTCTACATTTTAAATGTTCACGTTGATCAAGAAGATATTGTTTAATAAACTTGATTAGCTTCATGAAGCCTTTGTTACCACTCACCTCTTCTTCCTGGTGACGATGAGGACGTCGTTAAAGAGAAACAGGTAGTAGCTCTTGTTGCTGAAAGCTCTCCATATGCTGAGCTCTTCGGCTGAGATGGCGAGCTCGCCGCGCTTCTTCAGCCACCGCGACGATGAAATCAGTGGAAAAGGCTACCAGGAAACAGAGTTGACAGACACTGCTGAAGACACTTCTGCACTGGATCACATTTGTTCATAAATATAGAAACAAAAAGTCAAGCTCCCTGTTGAGTGTCTCTGCAGGAAACTCTTCAGTCTCACCTTTATCTTTCCAAAGTCCATTTGTTTCTGGATGGTGTACATCTGCTCTGTCCTCTCCATCCGCCTCGCTCCATCATTGCAGCTCGTGACCAACTGTTGGAACGATAACAGCAACAAAAAGTCAATGAAAGTGTAGCAAAAAACCATGGCTGTGGCACTACAGAGGGGTTTCCTAAAATATACCTTGCTCATGGCATTCAGCGACCAAACGGCAGAAAAGTAATCCGCTGACTGCGCCGGAGTTTTCTGGCAGATGGTCTGCAGGTACATCAATTAGAATTAATAAATACTTTTAAATGATAGTTAATCAAACAATTATATGGATTAGATAAGACACACACAGTGACATGCAAAGTTTGGTGACTGGAGCTTTTAAGGTTTACGGTCTAAAAGCTAAATGGACAGTGCTCTGCCCATTTCAAAGCTTTATAAATACTTAATGACTCATTAATGATTCCTCTAACCACCACACCACAATGTTGGGCTACCTAACATTCATTAAACACAAAACAAGAAAATGCAGGAGAAGAGAAACTATGAAAAGAGAATTCGTGTTGTCGGTTCATTTTATGAACTCGTGATAAAAAGGGTAGAGGTCCAGCTGCAGTCTAAAAGGATATAAAAAAAAGAATTTTTTCAAGAGTTTTGTCAGTAGGTGAAGTGTTTAAACATAGAGAGCCTTAATTGAAGATTAAAAAATGTGTTTCTTGAATCTTCAAAACACAATTTAGCCCAAGAAAGTTGCAAAAGAACAACAAGGCAAGCATTTTGGGAGCAGTTCTTGTGGATAATAGATTGACAATTTGCTGCTGCTGTTTGAGATATTTTGCTAACAGACAATTAGTTTTTAGTTAAATGAGTTACAACAACACCTAATTTCCCTCTGGGATCAATAAAGTATTTTTGAATTTGAATTGAATTGAAATACATTATCCCTTGTCTTTCACAGCTGACATGCACAGTGCTCACTTTTACCCTGTCACACTATAACGTTTTAGACAACTTATGTCAACTTAAACATTTTTTATGTCTAACTTACTAATAAAGTTATATATTTGATCAATTTATCATTACAGTATGCAAAAGCCTAAGAGGCTTCCAGCTGTTTTTTTAAAATTCCATCTTCAACGTAGACGTCTTTAAAATTTTCATAGGCTGACATAAGTTGTCTAAAATGTTATGTGACAGGGCCTTTAGAGACTTCCCTTCTTTTGTTATTTATTGAAAATAAATTAATAAAAAAATAATGATTTAAAAAAGTAAACAAGATGAGCCTAAATCTTTGAATGTCACTAGATATGAGAATACAGAAACGTCATCAGGTGGTTTTAGACGTTGATCAATAGAAAATTTTATTATATTATTTACTTTCCAACAACTAAAGATATTCTAAAAAATTAAATGTATTGTTTAATAGGGTCGAAAACTATGACCCAAACAGAATAAAAAGATATGTACGCAGCACTGGGAGAGACTATAAATTAAGCTTTTCTGCGCTCCTAGTGACTCCATGTATATGCATGTTAAAAAAGTGGATTTTGTGTGATGTGTCTCCTTTAAAGAGGATTTTAAACTGACATCCAGCAGCAGAGGCAGTCTGGTCACTCGCTGCATGGGCAGGATGAGGAACGACAGCATGGGGAGGCCTCCGCATTCACTGGTCGACTCGATTTGCTTCAGAGTCTCTTTGAAGGCGACGTTGCTGTTCCTATGGGAGACAAGAAAAGGACAAAAAGCTCAGCTCGTCCCGTCGGGCTGCTGGAGAGTCTAATCCTGTTGGCTCGAGTTCGTTGCGCCTCTCACAGCAGCTTCTGGAGCGTCCTCTGCTGAAAGGTCTCATTGGAGCAGTAGACGATGTAGGGCTCAAAATTGTGCGTGGCGTGGTACTGGACGATGTCGCTGATGTCCTTGATCAACAGCTGCTCATTGTGACGCTTCTCCAGGTCATGAAAAAACCTGAAAATCGAGCAGGAGTGGGAGTTTAATAATGAGGTGAGACAACTGTGGGGTTTTTTTTTCTCTCACCTCCCACAGACTGAACACACACACACATACACACACACACACACACAGTCTGACTGGAGGGGTAACTTCTAGGTTAGCATTTCAGCTTCTTAGTGGACACTTTAAAAAAAACAATGAACAAATTGCTATGTGCATATTTTCATGTTAACATTCACAGATCTGTGCAGCAATCTAAAAACCATCCTAACAAACACACACATGAATATTTGATTTGTGTTTGAGTGTGTTTGCATAAATCATGAGTCATATTTCTCATTGAATATTCTCACAGCTGTTGTGTCATTGGAATKAATCATTTTTGAGTCTTTATAACTGCAATCAATTGTCAAATAGCCCGACCAGAAGTCCTAAACATATTAATACGGACATTTAGAAACAGTTTATTTTCACGAAAAGATGTACGGATCGGCACGGCGAGGCGGTGGTTAGAGCCGTCACCTCTTGCGGAGGTCACAGGTTTGCCTCCCGGCTCGGGGGCGTTGAGTGGAGTCTGCTTGTTCTGCCTGTGCAYGGGTTGTTGTTTTCCTGCTACTCTGGTTTCTTCCCACAGACTGAAAGCATGCATATCAGGCTCATCGGTGACTCTAAATTGTCCCTAGGGGAGAGAGTGAGTGGTTGTTCGTCTCGTTTGTCTCCATGTGTCCCTGTGGTGGGCTTACAACCCATCCACGGTGTACCCCCGCCCCCGCACGCTGGCTGCTGAAGACTGGCACCAGCCTGCCGCAACCCAGAAAGGAGAAGCGGGCAAAGAGAATGCATGCAAGGCTTACATGTTTTGTTTTGCAGCAGAAACTTTCTATCTTGATCAGATTCAATAAAAGACCTTTTAAACAAAAAGGAGTAAAACTACACCTAACGCAACTCCGCCGAGGAACCAGATGGTTTCACACAGAAACCAAAAACGGTCAGGTTTGACACTGAAAACTCAATATATTGTGTTTTCTAGTTTCACAAATCCTGTTTTGCAATCTCTTGACTGAAAGAGAGAAAAGGCACTCCTCCTTCTCACTGCAAGAAAACCTATTTGTATTTAAAATGAAGCAGAACGTAACAAAGGGTGCTCTCAAAAACATTCTGATTATAAACTCAGGAATACCGAGAAGAGCAGCGAGGCAGCAGAACCAGTTTGCTGCGCCTGTCCTAACATGTCAATGAGGCTTATAGAGTAGCGAAGAGACACACTGAGGGCAAATACTTCACATTAAACTTTAGATCAACTCATTTTCCCACACCAGACCATATCTCAGGTGGGAAACATAAAAATAGAAAGAACAACGCTCTGTTTTAAATATGCAAATTACTTTATATAATCACTATCTTTGGACCTCCTTGTCTCTTTCTGATAGCATCAAATCCTTTTATAATAACAAACCAGCTGGTATTTCAACTGATTCTTCAATTAAGCAACAAGCGTAAACACATGAACAAGAACACAAAAAGATTACTGTACATGTTGTACAGTGCTGGAAAAAAATGTAAACACCCATATTTTATTACAAAACCTAATTCTGAAACATTTAGGATGTTGTGTAAAACGTAACAGAATAATTTGCAAATGTCATGAGTGAAAAAACTAATTTTGGTTGTTTCGTGAAAGTTTTCAGAGAGAAGCATATGCTGTTTCAAATCCCTTTTTGCACTGATGGCATCTTTTCAGACATATAAGCTGCCTTTGCCCTAGGCACTAATGCACCCCCATACCATCAGAGAAGCAATCAGTGAACTGAGCACTGATAAAAAGCTGGATGGTTCCYCTTCTCTTTAGTACAGAAGTGGCATTACATCTGTTACGGGAACAGATTTTGCTGGGCGATAAATTGTCTGAGAAATTGTTACAATAACTGATCATTTTAAACTAATATATGTATTTAAAAAATATTAGCAAACCTAAGGTTCAGCCGAGTGGCCTGAGAGTCGCCAGCTGAAAGAAGGTGTCAGAAATAGCTCAAAGCTAGCTCTAGTTAAATGCATGTTCGTGGGGCTCTCGTGCTACAGAGGAAACAAGACCGTGCGTTTGGAAAATACCTGACGTGAGACTCTACTCCTCCCTACACTGAAGAGCAGAAAAGAGGGAGACTCAAAGAAAACAAAAGCACGCAAATGAAAATGATTAACCTCATTTTAATTTATCGTGATCAATTTATTTACTGCTTATGACGGGTCGATGTGGTTTAAATTTTGATTCATCTGACAAAAAAAAAAAAAGTTAAATTCATCCCTGTTTATWTTTTAAAACAAGTTTTGACCCAGAGAAGACTGCAGCCTTTCTGGATGGTGTTCACATTTTTTTTCTTTGCATGATAGAGCTTTAACGAACCAATTAACCTAATGAGTTGCAAGATACTTCACTTACTTTTGCCTTTTCCTGTCCATTTTTTGAGATGCGTTGCTGCCATTTAATGTGTTTCACTGTCATTTAAATCTTTTCATGTTGTTTTAGTTACATTTTACACCCCCCCCCCCTTTCTAAACTGGGTTAGTGCATTTCAACACAATTTGACTAAGAGAAAATAGTGTTGCTCTGACCGTTTGCTGACATTGTGGATGACAGATATGTTGGAGAAAAGGTGGTGATGCTCTGTGGTCGTCATCGTCTTCCTCAGCGCTTCACTGCTTTGGAATTGGCGCACCAGGATGCCAAGGCTGTGCAGGTAAGAATGCTCCGAGGTGATGATCTCAAAAATGGCCTGTAGAACAAACACGTGCTCAAAGTTAAAAAAAAAAAAAAGATTTAGTCCTAAACGCACTTTCAGTTCCTCTCGTTTCCTCACCACATTCTCCAGAATTTCCTGTAACTTTCTGCATTTCATGAAGGTTTCAGGCAGCAACAGATYAGCATTTAAAAGCTAACATATTACACAGTGGGTGGCTCCAAGGCATTTTAGTCCATGCAGGCTGTTGTGAGAGAAAYCATGTGATCACAACACACCTTTGTCAACATTTATAGGTGAGGTGGCTGTGAGAGGACCAAAGGGCAAAAACTGAACTAAACAAAATGCGCACGTATTGTCTGGACTGTCCCGCACCAAATCTCCAGTAAAATACTTCATTTCTATAAAAGACGTTGYAACGACCGAGTTCCAGTTTTGAAAGAAAATATTTTAGCACTAAAACTAGACCCATGCGGCGACTGAAAGAGCAAAACAAGCACCTGCTGAAAACCCTGCAGAAGAATGATTACACAGGCAGGGTGGGGCTTCGTTCAGCCTTTGTGAGAGCACACAGWGAAGACCTTTGGTATTGACACAACTTTTCACATCTTAGATGGCCGAGGAGGAAATACAAAAGGACAATCCACCCACAGATAGTGTTACACTGAAGCGTCAAAACTTGTAAGACAGATATGCTTTAATGTTGGTTTCTTTTTCAAAGARTTCCCAACTGRTTCTTGTTGTTCCACMAAAGTTTCGCGTTTTATCTCTTGGTTTACTTTTAATAAGCCGTCTAAGGATTAGGGGTGCAACAATACGTGTACCCGTATTGAACCGTTCAACACACTGCTTTAGTTTCAACACACACTTGTATCGAACAATACAGATTTTTAATATTTATTTTATAATCTTGTCTTCTGAAGATGCTCTGGGTTAAAGGATCAGTGGATCTGTGTTCGACTAATCCACCTAGGCTGCAGTGTCGAGCGCAGATCCACTGAGAAACTTGCTGTTTCAGCAACATTTAATTTAAAAACTGTACTTTTGAGGTTAAACAAATGTTCATCCCAATTTAACTAAATTACAAGTTTAAAATGGCACGGAAATTTCTCTTTTTTGTATCGAAAAAATATCGAACCATGAGACTAAAGTATTGAACCAAATCGTGAATTTTCTGTATCGTTGCGCCCCTACTAAGAAGGATGAGTTATTGGCGGAAACAAGATCATAATGAGTTTCCTCATAATCATAACTAATACATTTTATCTATTTTCAAATAAGAACCCAATATGTCTGAGCTGAAAACCTTCAGTTTAACACAAAAAGGCAGATTTTAGTGAAGAAGAAATATCATTTTGTCACGTTATGATTTTATTGATGCCCTTTTAATTAAAATCCGCAGTGACTGTGGTGCAGTCCAACATTTGGGTAATTATGGCAGAAAAATAGACAAATCCTGAACCAAGCCTTCTATAATACATCCAGATTAAACTCTCCATAAGAACATTTGATGTATGTGTATGGTTGTACCTACCTCTTGTCGCTTTCTCTCCTGAGGTGTAATTGTTTCCAGATAACCCGAGTCTTTAACCTTAACAAGACATAAAACAAGAGTTAAAACATCTGAAAACGTTCCCACTTTATTAAATAAACTCATTTGGCAGCTTTGCAATATATTAAACTTTCACCTGTTTTTTAGGAAAAAGTAAAAGGAGCAAAAAAAAGCATTAATGTTTAACTTCATTCAATGTTTCACCATACAACAACCGAAGCCTAAAATAGATTCACACATGTGCATTTTCTTGACTCTAAATGAAGTTATGACGTTGTGGATGACGTCACTTCTCTTGTTTACCAGTGGCAGCTGGCTCCAGGTGAGCTGCGCTTGCTTGTAGTTCTTCACCACGATGCTCTGGTCCTCTGCGGGAGCCTCCACCACCACAAAGTCATCCAACGACTCGTCCTGGCTGGTGGAATGAAGCCCGCGCTCACGGATCTCCTGATAGAGGCACGGCGTCGCTGAGAAATGACAAAGGGAGCTCTCCAGGGTTATGTATTACAGAAGAGGTGGACAAAYGTGAAAGAACTTATTTTCCTATCAAATATTTCTAATCTTAAAGACACTCTCCTTTTAACTAATTGCTCTTCTCTGTTATAACATTGTATGTTAATGTGTTTACATGTGTGTGCGTGCTAGCCTTGATCATTTTAACCTGGTGAAATGAGCCATACAAATAAATTTACCTTGGCTCTGTATACATAATCATTAATTAGCAAACATCTCACAAAAAGATAAAAAAGTATAAAGGAGTCTTTCATCGATTTCTTCTTATAGAATAAAACAAAAACTGATTTAGAATTTGACCAATAAGCTGAACAAACAAAAATATTGGATTTTAATTATAAACTTGTGCATTTAAGAATAAAAACCTAAACATTTTTTTCAATAATCAAACTTAATCAGAGGGCTGTGTGAGTAATAAGCGGTTTCCTCATAAAAGGTTTAAATTTTTAGTCAGGACTTCTAAAAACAGCTGCAAAAATTTTAAAAGAATCCTTCCAAATAAGGAAGTGGATGACAAATATCCACCATTCAGGACTCCACAGGTGTTTGTCATTCAGGCACCCTTCAGAGCAATTGTTTTTTTTCTGTTTAGTCCCCTCTGCTGCCTCCAGCTCCTTTCCAAGAAGTTACTTTAGTTTCCAGCTCACGTCAAATCAATCTTTCATTTTCGCCGCACAGGAASTCTACTATGAACCAGTTTTCATTGAAGTGCAATTTTTCAGGAGAAAAAAACAAAGAAGTTGTAGTCATGTAGCTCAATTTAGCAATGCAGACAGAATGACACATACCATCTTTAAATGATCCACGCTGGTTCCTCTTTCTCCCCAGAGTTCGCTAGAAAAGACAGCAGCACATTTAGAGTTTTATTCTGGTGGATCTCAGTCAAAAGATCAGATTTGCTTTAATTATTCCCAAAAGAATTTCTTTAATTTTATCCTGCAGGCTGGAAAGCATTGTGGAAATGTGACTTAAAAAAAAAGAATTMTTCACTGTAATAACGTGTCTTTCATTTCTACTCCCCCTCCCCTCAGTTTAATGTACCTTACGCCCAGGACTGCGAGCCGGACCAGGACTGCTTGCTCTGTTTTCATTGACGGGCTTCAGGGTGGTGGCAGTGGGCTTTCGTGCTGCCGCCATGGCGTCGACATCCAGGCTGGTCACAGCTGCCCTGTACGACTTGTTTCTGCGGTTCCTCCTCAAACCTTCTCCGTCGCTGTCATAATCCTCCCACGATACATCTGCCCCGCGGGCTGGGCGATGGCCGTGGTTCTCGTTGCTGGACTTCTCCAGCCCCACCGGGAACGTCACCACGGTGGTGTGGTGTCGGTTTCTTGGGCGGCTGGCCACCGCTAAGTTCTTGGGGATGAGCTGGTGGGTGCCGACCTTCTGCGCCGCGAGACTCCTGGTGCTCAGGACCACCTCGGGCGCCTTCATCCTGTCCACTGTGTCTTCTGTTTTAGCGGGGGAGGTTTTGGGCTGGGGAGTGGAAGGGCTTTCTGATGGGAAGTCTTCATCGCCCGGTTCATATATATGGAGTTCTGTGAAGAAGCAAGCATCAGATGGAGGGGCCTGCTTGTTGGTGTAAATCCCTGATTCTCTGTGGGACATGGTGTCCTCCTGCTGTGATGTAGGCACTGTATGGGTTCCTCAACACTAAAAAAAAAAAAGAATAAGAAAAGTATGATTGCTACATGAATATTACAGGCAGTAAACATATCTCTGGAACATGGAAAAACAGAAATGTTATTTATTTTCCCCTAAATACCTCCACATCAGTAAAGCCAGTTGTGTCAGTGCACTTAATCATGTCAAGGGACTTTATGACTCATTATAGCTTACTTCTACACTGCATTTTCCCACAAACAACAAAGATCAGCTTTAAATCTGTGCGCCACAGAAACTACAAGAAACCGATACAGCTGATAAAAGCGTGACCTCATAACCTCATAAATATGAAGAAAATCCACTCTATACGTGTTGTTGTGGCCTTAAAATAAAGAAGGTAACAGCGAACATCGTGACATTAGTTGAGAGAACATATTTTGTACTGCACCAAGACAAATAAACAAATATATTTGTTTAAAAACTAGTCGCACTGTTTAGTTTACAGTTCCTTGTCGCCAGAAGTCTGGAAGGAAAATGTCTGCCTTGTCACGGTTTAAAACTGCGAGCCAGTTTAAAAAAAAACAACAACATATTTTTACCTGACACACACACAGAGACAGGTGTGCTCCTCCAAACAGCGTCCGTTCACGCTCGTCCCGGGTCAGTCCGCCGCGGATGGCTCTTCTGCTGCAGCTGCGGTCAGTTCATCGGTCCGTGGGCGGCTGTATTCCTCCGCCTCGTCCTCTCTGCCTTCCTGTGCCTACGTCACGACAGGTGAGCGYTTGAGCGCCAATCAATCATCGATGGGCGACAGTTTCCGATTAGGGAAAAAAATAAAAATAAGAAACAGCAAAACAAAAAAACAAGAAGCACACAGGAAGCAACTTCATAGATAAACATATCATGTTTGACGAACTTTTTTATTTTTTGGGGGGTGGGACATAAGACRTTTAAATTAACAGATCTCCAATAAATGTCCTTAAACATCGAGGACAATAATATATTTGCCCTCTGTTGGAAAACTTACAAACCCGATAGGAAAACATTTTTTGTGACTTTACCCTGTGCTGGTTACCTGCCTGGTAAAAACTGTTCTTGTTTGCCCCCTGGTGGTTATTATGCGTTATTACATGTCCCACATAAATCTTACTTCTATTTATAAAATCTAAATCTAGTTTGGTCGTTTTAATAATTCTTTTTTGTGATATTTGTGGATTGCTGTACAGCACTTTGGTGCAGCTTTTAGCTGTTTTTAGAAGCGCTTTATAAATAAAACTGACATTGACATTCTAGAATAATTATAAAAAAACATTTCTAAACTTTAACACGTTTTTGTTATTTGTGACTTTAAAATTGACACTGAAAACATGACTAATTTTGTCAACTAATCCATAAGAACAAATGTCATTGTTTATGAAGCTAAACATAATTCATCAGAGGATGATTCAAATTTATATAATTCTTGTACTAGGAACAGGTTCAGTACTTGAAATAACCAGGTTCTAATAAATGTTTGTTTAGCTTTTGAGAACAGAATGAAAATCACTCTGATTTAGGATAAATTAAAACTGATGTTTTCCTCAGTATTCAAATCTTTTTTTTTTATTTAAAGAATTTTGTGAACCTTTGCCCCTTCTGTATCATGATTTGAATAAATAGGCTTTTAAATGCCACAAATGGCATAAATATATAATAAAAGGTAATTTAGCACATTAAAAATGAATTACTGAATAATTTCTGAAACACCCTTTACGTATTTGGCCAATAAAATATTAAAACTTAAACATACATTTTACCTGACAGAGGTGTGATGATGATTATATAT